ACACACACACACAATAAATAAATGTAATAAATAAAAATAAATAAATATTAAAAAAAAGAAATTAAAAAAAAAAGAACTCTACATTTACTATTGGTTTTCACCACAAATGCAAACATGTTAATCACTCCCCCCCAACCTAATTAAAAAGCAAACAATTTAAAATGAGATCAGGTTAAGGCAAAGATTGAGTTCAAGCTCAGCCTGAGCAACTCAGCTAGATCCCGTCTCAAAGTAAGAAAGTCTGGGGATGTAAATTTGTGCCTTCTCAGAGCTCCCAAGGGCAGCCTGATCCCTCCGGACCCAGCCCAGGCCAGTGTGTGAGTGAGACCGTTAGCCCTGCCCTCGGGATCCCTGGAGACCCAGCCCTGGCCCAGGGAGTGTATGGGAGAGCTTCCGCTGTGCTGCACCCAGGGGCTCAATCCTCAGTACTGAAAAAAAAAAAAAAGGTGGGGGGTGTTTGAAGAGCCTGTGTGCACTCCCACTACGGCAGGCACTTTTGTCATATTACCTAAGCATATGGAAATGGGGTGTTGCAATATGTATTCTGTAAGTTTTTGAAAAACTGGGAAGGATTCTTCCAAGTCACAGCATGCAAACCACATGGCAGTGGACAGCCAGGGAGCTTCCGGCTTAGGAGGGCGTTCCTGGAAGAGCACAGGAAGAGAAAGAGCAATAACTCACGAGACACTCGCAAAATATAAGTCCATCTTGCCTAAGGGAAAAAATGAAGCTCTAACGGTACGTTAAAACCAACAATTGTACTAGAATAAGTAATAAGATGTAGTGTGGTAGGAGATATATATATGTCTCAGCATCAGTCCCAAGGCAAGTTACAGCATCAGTCAGCTGCTGTGAGACCTCATTACAGCAGCTATTCCTGGAAGGCTCTAGGAAGACTGCCATGCCAACTGGCAATATTCCATGAGACACCTACAAGGGAATTAACAATTTTAAGAGGCAGAGAAACAGCTGTGATTAGACTAAATCTAGTTCTTTGAAAATTTCCTGAATGTATGCCTGAAGTTCTGTGCAACAGTTTAAAATAGACTCATTCGACACAAATCACACACCATGCAACTCGTCCCTGCTAAGTACACAATCCAATGGTTGCAGGATATTAACAGATTTGAGCAACAATTGCCACAGTCAATTTTAGATTGTTTTTCAATTTTTATTTTTATTAATATGTATTTGTGGTATGTCATGATCATGAATTCCTCGTAAGGAGTTGATACAAGTATGTAATACGTCTCAGTAACCTTCCCACCCCACCTGTCTTTCTTTTGCTCCCTTCATCTTGTGGTTCCTTTCCATTTGCAAAAGATTGATCTCCCTATTTCTTACTATCTGCCTTTTATTTTGCTCTTTCATTGTACTTATACTTTGTTTTTATAAAAGAGAAACCACGCGCTATTTAAGCTGTGTGCCTGTTTGCACATAACACTGTGGTTTTAAGGTGCATCTTTTTTTTCTACAAACAACTCAAAGAAACTATACACAGGCTTACTTTAGCAGTATCTCAGGTTCAATTCTAGATGCCCACAGTAAAGCAAATATTTCAATAAATGAAGTCACATTTTGTTTCCTACTGCATAAAAATAGTCTGTTATGTGTGTAATAGTATTATGTCACAATATTGTCTAAAGTATATATAATATATGTATTGTATATATACCTTCATTCAAAATATTTTGTTGCTTAATAATGCTAGCAGTCGTCTAAGTCTTCGTCCAGTTGTAATCTCTTGGCTGGGGGATCAGGGTGGTGCTGCTGAAGGGAGGGGTGTGTGCAATTACTCAAACTGCTTCAAAGCTCAGGGGCATCTAAGGACACCTGAGGATGTGATCCTGCTTGGCTCGCATACACACAGCAGGATACAGTTATGTAACCATTACTTAGGACAGGTAAGCATGCATGTTCTGGTTACGCCACTATAAAAACTTGTAAATATGAGATAACACCCTGCATAAGAATTATACAAGGAAGAGGCAGGCAGCTCTTGCGCTCCTATGCGCTTGTGCTCTGCTCTGCTCCATGCTGCCTGCTGTTGTTGCTGGCATCTTGCACTCATAGTTCTTTGGCCTTGGGGCCCCACTCTGGAAAACCTCCCTTTGGCTTCCAAGCAGGCTGAGAAGGTGGCTGCAGCTGTTAGTTTCTTGAGGTTGGATGTATCCATTGACACTTCCTTTCATGAAAGGTTTTCCTGTGGCATGTGATGCCGTTTGATCACATTATACCTGTGTTAAAACTTTCCTTTTTCTGCTTTTTGAGACAGGGTCTCCCTATGCATTTCAGGCTGATCTTGCGCTTCCTGTGTTGCCCAGGTTGGCCATCAATTTCTCAGCCTCCCAAGGCCTGGGGTGAGAGGTGTATGCCCCCAAACTTTCCTTTCACAATTGCAGTTAGTTCTCTAAACCCCGCCTCTGCTTTATCAGCTTATATTTTATAGTCCTTATTGTCATCCCCACAATTTTAATAGCATCTTCCCTTGGAGTGGACTCTGTCTGAAGAAGCCACTTTCTTCACTCATCTGTAGGAAGCCATAATTCAGCAGTTAAAGTTCTGTCACAAGACTATCCTCAGGATCAGCCTTGATTTCTAGTTCTCTGGGTATTTCCACCACACCAAGGGCTGCTTCCTCCATTGAAATCCTGAACCTCTCAAAGCCATTCAAGGAGATTGAAATGAACTCCTTTCAGCCTCTTGTTGATGTTGGCATTTTGACTTCTCTTGAGTCATGAATGCTCTTAATGGATCTAATGCTGGCCTCTTTCCTAAAGGTTTTCCATTTCCTTTGTCCACACCTACCAGAGGAATCTCTATAAGGATCCTGCTAGATCCGTATGAGATGTATTCCTTCAATAATAAGACCCCAAGGTAATAATTACTCTTTGATCTACAGACTGCAGAGTGGATTTTGTTAGCAAGCATGAAAACACTAATTTCGCAGGATCTCTCTGTCAGAGCTCTTGAGTGATGAGGGGCATTATCAACGAGCAATAATATTTTGAAAGGAATGTTATTATTTTTCCTGAGCAGTAGCCCAATGGTGGGTTTAGAATAATCAGCAAACCATGTTGCAGATGTTCCTATCCTTTCAGTTGTAAGCAACTACTAAACTCCAACCAGTACGCATTTTTCTATGGAAAAAGTTTTATGTATAGAAATTGGTGTCATACATTATTCCAGAAAATCTAATTTAGCTTGTAACATAGTAAAAAAATATAGCATTCATGTTAAAAATGAACATTATGACTGTTAAAATACACAACTAAATAATGTAGCAAAATAAAATACCCCTAAATGCATTTCTAAAACAAGCAAACTCATTCAACAATGTTTGAATTTCCCCATGGCACAGGAAAAGTAGTTTAGGGCTGGTGAGATAGCTTAGTGGACTAAGTGCCTGCTTAGGCAAGCACAGGAATCCGGGTTCAATCCTTGGCACCACATGCTGCACCAGCCCTACACCACGGGTGTGCTGAGCAGGGTGGTGCATGCCTGTAATCCCAGCGCTGGGGAGGCTGAAAGCAGGAGGAACCCTACAAGTCTGAGCTGCTGCATAGTGAGACTCTGTACCAAATACATTAAAAAAAAAAAAAAAGGAAAAGCAGTTTAATTAATAAAAATGTCTGAAAGAACTCGGAAGATGATTTCTGGATAATTTTAAGTATCATGTTTGATGGCATATAGAATACATTTTAAATTTCTATTCGAGCTTTGCTGCTCATGGGAAGTAGGCCCTGGAGTGAATGTGGGCCCTGGATGCTTAGAAGAGGGTCACGCTGTTGTGCCTCAGTGTGAACCTGGGATGGCAGGAGAACACTGTGAAAAGAGCTGTAGACAAGGCTTCAAGGAGGCTTTCCTTCAACTTTCTGGGCCTTATTTTCTTATCTGGAATGCGTAGATATAATTAGGAACTTTTCCAAGGAGAATAGTGACAGGAATGAGCTGATTTTCAAATAGCACACAGTAAACCCTCTGTTCACGGGAACTGTTTGAGGATTACAGGGAAAGATGACCGGTGTTTCTAGCAGCACAACTGATAACAGTTAAATCTTGGAAGTGGCCTAGATGCCCACCAACAGATGAACAGGTGGAGAAAGTGTATTTGCCCGCAGTGGAGTGCTACTCTGCCACAGAGAAGGATACGCTTGTCTTCTGTAGGAAAGTGGATGAGACTTTGGGACCATAATGTTAAGTGAAATAAATCAGATACCCACAGTTAAATATTGCATGATTTCTATTATATGAGAAGCCCAGAGTTTAAATAAAGAATAACATAGAGGATAGATAATAGGAAACAGGAAGCTAGATCTTTTGTAAAAGGGAAGGGGACGGAGAGATGGAGGGAGGGGAGTGGAAGGGAATGAAACAGAATCAAAATGTGTTATGTACACACACACCAGCTCCCCACAAGGCACTGCACACACATGCTAATAAAAATAAACATTGAAGATAAGAAAGGGTTCATAGGAATACCCGTATGTGAGATGGGTAGGAGCAGCTGGTGGGGAGATGTTGCCTGGGCTTGCTTGTGGGCAGAGAAGGATGAGAAGTCAAATGAAAAACCTCCAACCCAACCTCCCAGTGATGATCTCAAGCTCCAAATCTGAGGCTCCAGGTGCAGATGTCAGGTCTGCAGAGGTCAAGGCAGAGGCTTCAGGTGGAGCTGAGATGGAACTTGCCTTTATGGGATACTAGGCTTGTGGTACATGGGTGGGTAAGGCCATGCCAGGGGCTAGAACTGTTAGACAAAGAGGGGGACGTGAAGAAGGGCACTGGAGAACAGCTTGTGTTTCAGCATCACAGGAAGTGGTAATCAAGTAACTGTGTACTTCCCAGACTTCTAAAGAGAGATGTCTCTGGGGAGGAGAGGTTGGGATTTCAGAAATAGTACTGCCAACATCTGTGAAGTACATGTTTTATTAGATTTTAACTCTTCCCATGTGTAAACCAGTTAACCTTTAAAAAAAAATTTAGTACAGGGTCTACAGGATCTCACTACATAGATCTGACTCATAGTGATTCTTCTGTTTTCAGCCTCCCAAGCTCTGGGATTACAGGCACAAGCCATCACGCCCAATCTCAATCGCTGTCTCAGTGCATCCTGGGGGCGACTGGCCTGGAACGCCAGCATCGAAGTCCAGCCTCTGTCTGCCTAGGCAGGTGCTTTAATCCACTGAGCTATCTGACTGGCCCTAAGCCAGCTAACTTTTAAAAACACATTCACAACTTTTAGCTCACTGGTTACCCCAACACCTTTTTGTGTAGGCGAGGACGCTGATGCGTAAAAGGTAGAGTTCCCCAAGTCACACAGCCACCTAGTGGCAGCGCTAAGCTACAGCCTGGGCATCCTGACTCACAGTTCCGTGTCAAGCAGATCACACAGCCAACTGTGTAACCCGCGGACACCTGCACCACCACGGGGTCCCAGGGGATGCACGAGGGCTCTGCCTGGAATGTCATTCACCACCTAGATGCAGGGCAGGTACCTTTTCCATTCCTGAAGAACCTCGAAGGAAGAAATTCCATTCGGCTTCGGTTAGGGACCCTTGCTGCCGCATGATATCAACACAGAGCATAAAGCTGTAGATGAGCTTGTGTTGTTCAAAAAGTCCCCGTGAGATATTGACATAGGCGTTCAGAAGGGTTTGCTCTAGCAGTATTTGCAGGCGGTGCTGTAGATCATCTGTCTTCACAGAAGTTTCAATTGTGGTATTGAACAACTATATGGAAGAGAGAACAATATCCCTGGTTTAATTTGCTCTCTATGAAGAAAGAAAGTCTCTGCTCCCTCTTTCCCTCCCAACCCCATATTCAATTAACAACGCAGGGGGTGAAGAGTGTTACATGGAGAAATCTAGAATTCATCCCAAATTGATACGTGACATTTATTTTCTGTCCTCCTTATCCTCTCCCAGTTTTTATTTTATTACTTTTATTGAGAAACAAATAGCAATGAGACAGTTTCAAAACAGGTTAGTAGGACAGTTGCAATAATTAATGCATTGCATATTGTTGTCTTCATAGTAGTTATTTATAGTACAAGATGAACATGATATCCTGTCCAAACACGATTAGTACAAATCTTTCTTCTCATTGAGTTAAGAAAAAGTAGCTGTATATCTATCCTAACTATTTTGTATTGAAATGGTCCCTCATTTGTATCCCCTTTTTTTGTTCAGTTTTGTCAGATGGGTATTCCATTGCCATTTAAATATTGTAGGTGCATGAATTCAGCAAAATAATCCAATACAGTCCAGTAGTCCATAATAGTAGTGGTAGAAAATAGGCCCATGCCACACCCTTGACAATGTTCCAAGGGGACCACCTCGATGTGTGACAGAGGGAAGCTGGTGGGACCAGGTTTTTTGTTTTGTTTTGTGTTTTTTTT